TGTGTGTGTGTGTGTGTGTGTGTGTGTGTGTGTGTGTGTGTGTGTGTGTGTAGGTAGGTAGGTCTAAGACTGCGGAAATTTGACATCTCCTTATGTTTCTCAATTATAGGCAGGTAGAAAATAACTGATAACCCAGAAACAGGAAAAAAGCCTGCTACCAGTAATTAAAATATCATTTTTAATTTATTCATCTACTTTATATCTACATACAGATATAATTAATTATTCATATATATACATATATAGTATAAATTTATTCTTTAAAATGGGGAGGAGAATGTGGCATCCTACCAGATTAGATAGGAAAGTAAGAGACAAGGAAAAATGTCTGAGCTAGAACCAATGTGGAAAGGCTTTGGGATATAAAGGAGAAACGATGGATCAGGTGAGCCTCAGTGCTCACTTAGAGGCTTGGCATTGCCTTCTGCAGTGATTCAGGGGAAGGCGAGTCTTTTCCCCCTGCTCATGGTGGGTTGGCTCCATGATCTTTTTCCTTGCTTGTGTCTTCATAGCCAGACATCCTCCTGCAAAAGAGAAAACATTTTTCTTTCTGTTAATTATTTTAGAAAGTCCTCCTTGGCCTAGCTCATCCACCTCAATATGATGACTTTAAAAAGTTAAAGGCTGGAACTATCATCTAAGCATTAACCTGGCAATGTTTCAAGTGACAAAAAATGGTTTCAATTGCTTGGAGAAGCTAATCAGATACTTAAGTGCATTCTGCTAATAGCCTCAGAGGAAACTGTGTTTACCTGGGCACCCTGAGGAGCCAGGAAGAAAGGATGGAGTGCTGTATGAATAAACGGGAATGGGGAAGGCTGTGAGAAGCAGAGAACATAGATCACAGAACACAGAACAAAGCTTTTCACAGTCTGAACATTCAAACCCAAATAATCAAATTATGGGTCATTGGTTCAGCTTTTGTTCAGGACTTAGAGGCAGGCCAACCTGAATTTATGAAACAGGACACTCATGGCTCTCTCCATGACAGATTTCCTTTTATTCTTCCCACTCAGTTGCCCTGAAGGTGTTAGACAACTACTATTTCCAAGCACACCAATGATCCACTGCTGACTTTGATAGTGGGAAGTGGAAAGTGAGAAATCTCTCTGGCCTCTTATCCATTTAAACTAGTTGGACCGCTAAAGGCAAGAGAAGGTTTTTAGTTTCATTACCAACCCCACTATATCCCTGTAGTTGAGGAGCAGAACAGAAAGGAAACCACACTGCTTCACAAATACACAAAGCTTGAGATAGACCAGAACTCTTACCACTTTCATAGGATCCTATTGAAGTAGAAACAAAAATGATTATTTGCTAAGCATGGAATCCAGGGCCCAGTTGTTCATACCAAGGTGGTAAAAGGTAGATTCACACTGGTCTCTTTTTCCTTTAAGACCTCCAGACCCTGGAAATTCTGAAAATATCTCTGTGAAAGTTCATTCAAGAAACACTTTAGAAGAACTTTATTCTCAAGAAGAAAGGAAAAACATGATCTTTTTAAAAATATTGTCAAAAAAAAAACTAAAGAAAACATTGACTATGAAGAGATGCCAATAAACTTGAAAACCATGAAAATTGCAGTGTTTGGGTTAGATTTCAGAGGGATGCAGGGGTTTGTGCCTGTGACCTGGGAGGCAGTATGGGGAACTGAGTAAGTATGAGACTTAAAATTCACATCTTGTCTCAGCTGTTTACTAGTCCTGATGATGGACATTTCATGACTACTCAGTGTCTTCTTTACCATGGGAGGAGCATTGTTGGGAGTATTCAATGTAAAAATGTAGTTTATCTCTCTCAGTGAATGTCTTATCTCTGAGTTGCATCACAGTTCAGCCTGAAATAGATGATGCTAGGTTGAAAGAAACCCTGATGTGCTCATTTGGATCACTTCCAGTGATGCTACAAGGCCCTAGCAGAAGCCCAGCCTATCCTTCTATCACTTCTAACATATTTCCAAACTCCAGCTCCTTCAGAAGAGGAATGGGAAAGGGTGCAACAACTGAGGTCACTTCCACTTAACAACATACCATTAAGTTTGACTAGACTGACTATGAGATGTGTCACCTTCTATATTGCAGCATGCTTCTGTTTTACATGACAAGCATCTTATGCCCCACCTCATCCAGCCCTTCTAGTCAGCAGAAGGGTTCCCCTGGGTCACCTGAGTGAGACAGTGCCTTCCTAGCATCATGATTAGGTAAGAAAACACGCCAGTGACAAAAAGGTCCGATGTCAAATACAGCTGAGTCTGCTGATGTAAATTTCTTGGCTTAACTTCTCTAAGACATTCATCTGTGAGCTGAAAATAACAATGAAACACATTGGACAGGGTGTGGTAAGGATTGAAGAGGGTAATACATTGCAGGTGTTTGGAATTTTGCCTGGCACATGGTGATTAGTCAAGGGACTCTGATGGTTATTAACATTATTCAGATCAAGGACTGTGGGACTGGAATTTCTGTGAAGTGAGAAGATATACATAAAAAAAAAATGCGACAGACCTTTTGTTTTCTAAAATTGGCTATGATGGTGTCAGCCAAAGAAAAATAAAACCAAACCTAACAAAACAAAACAAAAGCCCCCAAAAGCCAAAGGTTCATTATACATGATCTAAAAATGCAGCTGTATCATATAATAAGAACAGTAATATTCTCCAATTGTCAAGTTTTTAAGATTGCACAAGATGAGAAACAAAAAAGAAAACATGCCCAGATATTGCCACATTCTTGAATTTCGCTTTGGTTGAATTGGAACTCAATGGTATAAGATAATGAATATGACTTTTCTCCTAAAGAAAAATGAAGATGGAAAAAAAGTAAAGAAGCAAGTCAAGGGCTGGAGAGACAGCTCAGCGGTCGGTTAAGAACAACACAGGTTCCTCTTCCAGAGGACCCAGGGTCACATTCCCAGCACCCACACTGTAGCTCACAATTGTCTGGAACTCCAGTCCCAGGAGAACCAAAACCCTCTCCTGGCCTCCACAGACACAAATGTGGTACACAGACATACGTGCAGGCAAAACATCTATACACATAAAAAGTGAACAAGTGCCGGGCGTTGGTGGCGCACGCCTTTAATCCCAGCACTCGGGAGGCAGAGGCAGGCGGATCTCTGTGAGTTCGAGGTCAGCCTGGACTACCAAGTGAGTTCCAGGAAAGGCGCAAAGCTACACAGAGAAACCCTGTCTCGAAAAACCAAAAAAAAAAAAAAAAAAAAGTGAACAAGTAATAACTTTAAAAAGAAGTAAACCAGCATCACAAAGCAACTTAACTGCATTATAATAATCTATAGATGGTTTATCATAGGGTGTGACATTATATTTCAGTGCCTGATAAACTGTGTAATGTGAGGATGTCAGTGGAAGTCAAAGCAGTATTAACTGCTAGGTTAAGAATAGCTGGGCGGTGGTGGCGCAGCACCACCCAGCACCCAGGAAGCAGAGGCAGGCAGATCTCTGTGAGTTCGACACTAGCCTGGTCTACAGAATGAGTTCCAAGACAGGCACCAAAGCTACACATAGAAACCCTGTCTCTCAACAACACCGCCCCCCCCAAAAAAAAAAAGACAGAAAGGTCAACAGAACTTACCTGGCATACACATCTATATGATTATAGCAAACTAATCACCATGCTAAACTCATGGTGTTTTGAGGATGATTACTAACAAAAGGGCTCATTGCTCAAGAATCACAAAGCCGTCTGTGATCTTAGAAGAAACTGTGTAGTGATGGCATGGGTAACCGACAATGGCAAGCTTGGCAGTTACCAACATCTAATAATGAAGAGGTCCGGCTCTTAGTTCCCCTGTAAGAGTCAAGAAAGCCCACCATGCCATCTCCTGAGTGACACCCACAGAGTCAAGGCAGCCTCCCCAGCAAATGCCATAGATTGGTGAAGAGTCTGCAATGCATTCCTGAATAAGCTGCTGGGACTTTGAACAAAGCACCATGGTGTTCACTGAAGACTTTTCTGTTCCACGGGGCCTAAGAAATCCCTGTTAAAATATGTGTCCTTAAAGTCTGGAAAAGCCATGCCAGGAAGGTTTTAGACAATCTTCATCACAAGATAGAAGCTGGTAAACAAGTAATTCGAAAAATACTTCTGCTGAGTCTCTGCTTTTCATCTCTTAATACACATGGAAAGAACATATTGCTATGTTTAACGAAGTTGGTTGACAGATGTTCCACGCAGTAACCCTGGAATAGCTTGACAGCTAATGATAACAAAATGTTACACCATGTTATTCTCCTCTATCAAAAAGAAGGGTCCAAGAGAGAGACATACAATCTTCCCCTCTCTCATTTCCTCCCAAGGTTTCTATCCAGCAATGGTGAGTCACCACCCATCCCTGTCAGATCTTGGCATTGGCAGTGGCAGGCAGATGCAGTATATTTTTCCCTAGATGAAAAAGCCTCTGAGGACTAAATTTTACCAAAGCTATCTATCCAAATCCTGACATCAGTGGACAAGACTGGCAAGTATGTGCCCAAGTATCATCATACACTTTCATGAACATCTAACCCAGTGGTTCTCAACCTGTGGGTCATGATCCCTTTGGGGAGTCAAATGATCCTTTCACAGGAGTTGCCTAAGATCATCAGAAAACAGAGATATTTACATTGTGATTCATAACAATAGCAAAATTAAAGTTATGAAGTAGAAACAAAAATAATGTTATGGTTGGGGGTCACTACAGTATTAAAGAGTCACAGTGTTAGGAAGGTTGAGAACCACTGATCTAGTATTTAATGAAAATGCTGAGAAACGTATGCATAGAGAATACTCATTAGGTACATGTGCTCTTATTAATATAAGGTGTTGCCTCTCTTCCATGTGAGATGTTGTACCTGCAATAAACCAAGGAAAAATCAGATATTGTATTTCACAGTAAAAGAATATACAAACTCTAGCTTATTAGGTTGCATATTATACCTTCTTATATAGAGACACTCCACAGATTGCATAGACTCAGCCTTCATTTAAGGAAGGAACTTAGGTCCTGGCATAAACCATGAGTTATATATAGGAAGAATCAGTGAGATGAAAATCATAACAGATCTGGGCTATGGTGAAATCCCCGAAAGCAGGGGGCATAAAGAAGAAGCAGAAATTAAGACAGCAGGCAATGCTGAGCTCCCTGTCCCCCTGTCCCCCTGTCCCAGTTCTCAATAGATCAGATAGCTGATAGTAAAGATGAAATAAAATATAAAGATAATAAAACATGTGATAAAATTATGAAATAGAAAAATGTACCCACAGGACTTCTGGGGTAAGCTGAAAAGATCAGCACTAGGTTTCCATATGCTGCTAAGAAAAAAAAGTACATTTATATATAAAATGTGGTAGGAAGACTGAATTGTGTATCTTGGATTTTACTGCCTGATGTGCAGAAAACTTGTAAATAAGCAGAATTATTGATCATTTCTAAACTTAAAATGTGAACTGTCTCTGAAACCACTTTCAAAGAACATTTCTCCAGTGTTTATCCTTTGGGGCATTAGACCCAATATACAATGTATGTTCATCTGTGGGGCTTTGCATATTTTACAGAATTTAACTGATTTCCAGGCATCATAATACAACTTTTCATAAAGTGTTAACAAAGTAATTGATCCTAATAAACCTAAAGCCTTCCCCAACAGATTTTAGCCTGGAAGTAAGCTGGGAACATACTAAAATAATAAGCTATTAAGATTAAGATAAGCATATTCATATTCTGAGCTAATTCTGCCTTCTTTCAGTTCCACAGGCAGCAGATACAATACAATGGTACATTGTTGGAATAAGCGTAGCCAGCAAAGATGCTGTGGATGCACACATACTAATAACATGAATTGCTGGTATGGGGGAGAGTATAGTTCATTTAATTAAACAAAGAGACAACATTTAGAGTCTAATCGTTGCCAAAGCAAGATGAAAATGGAATACTCTTTATAGAGGAATGTCTTAACACTAAAAACAGAAATTTTTGCATTCTTGCCAGCCAATTTTAAAAATTGGTTTGGCATGATGTGCATGAAGTGAAAGATTGGTTAGCGTTAGTGGCACAAGACCATGTGGGCAATGAAGGCTCGCTATCATAAGAATTTAGGAAGACAGGCAGCTGCAAGCTACTGCCTCCACTAACAGCATCTCAACATGAGGAGATAGATCATTAGGTAGATGGACCAGCAGGAAAGTCACATCCAGTATACTCATTTAAAAATAATCATTTGAGACTGGTATAAATAGCTTCCCTTCTTCTCATGGTACAGTACATGCATTGTTCTTTCAATGAAATAAAGATGGGATGGTTATTGAAAACACGTGAATCTTTCACAATGTGGTTAGAGTAACATGTGGTTTCAATAACCAAGTAGTATTTGTTTAACATATAGTGACTTTATTATTAAATGTGGTATGATTATTCAATTTAAATGTCAAATATTGAAACCAACCTTGTTAAAGCTAATACCTACTTACTGTTAGATATTTAGCAAATGCTCTTTAATGTGGAATTATTACTTAACTACTTTAATCTTGGAAGTTTTCTTCTAATTTACCTTATTAGTCCACAATTACTGTGTGCTCACAACACTGGCCTTGTTTCAGTCTTTGCCTTCTTAGTTATCTATATATGAGTAACAAGAGGCCAAGAAATAGGAGATAACCAATTAGAAGTATCAGCACTTTTCTAATTCTTGCCCTAGTTTTTTGTACATCATTCTGCTTTTATCATGGGAGGATTACAAGGTTCCTGGATATCAGTGGCACTTTATTATCAAAACTAAAAAACATTTTATGTGCTTGTATTCAAGATTATGTAGGACCAATAAAGATAACTATTTCCTCCCTTATCTATAGGCTCTCCAATTGAAGTGCCTGAAAGGAAAGGCTGGAAGCCAGGACATGAATTCTCCTCTGTAGTTCGGATGGTGAAGAAGATGGTTCCTCCTCTTCTTCATGACATCTGTAAGGATAACAGAACTGAACCCAGATGTGTTGTAGAGAAAGTGTGACTGCCAAGTTCTGAACACTCAAGAGGAAGCTTGAGAGACCAAACGCCTGTTGTGTTCAACTAAAGGTTCCACAGACCTAGAAAGAGCCTCAGGTTCATGAGGGAATTTTTCACTGCAGATCCTTCAGGTCTGATTTCCTTAATGCTTGAAGAATCAGAACCTATTTCCCGAATTTTTTTCATGACCCTTGGAGAAAGTGTTAGACACTCCAGGAATGATCAAGTACCTCCATGCCCACCTTATTTCTAATACTATCACCTGATTTCATAAGCATCAACCTGTCAACTACTTAACCTTATCCATCTTACTTCACAGGTCATGCAAGGGGACAAAACTTTGAATGTGTGGTGAAGTAAGTTGTGAAATATTGTGAATAATAGTTGAGAAAGGGAAGAATAGTTTTCAGTAAGAGTAACACTTAATTCTTTTCTTATTATTGTTTATTTCTGAGATTGTATTTTAATTGCAATATTTCTCCATCTAAATCCTCTTACATATCAATCACTACTATCCTTCAAATCCATGGCCTCTTTTTCATCAACTGTTATCAGTTCATTCTTATTAAGGGCTTGCAGTGTCCCATTTGTTTTCATGAACATCACCACATTTAAGTCTTTAAGGGCCCTGAGAGTGGAGCATGGTAGACAGTTTAGATAACCCCTCACAGTCCCTTTACCAGAAAATGGGTGAGCCAGGACTTGAATACAAGTAACCTGGCTCCAATGTCAAACCTATACCCAATGAATGGACTGTGGAGTTTGATGGATAAGTTCAAGTAGTTGACAGGCTGATTCTTATGAAAGTCAGACTTTGTCTGATCCCTGATAGCCTTTTCTGGACTCATACTGTGAGCTCCAGGTGAAGTTTTGTCTCAACAGGAAGAGTTTTCTAATAGAGCAGTATGATAACTGAATAGATGGCCGGAGGGCCAATGGGCAGTATCCATGTGGGGCTAGGAATGTTGAAGGGACTGACAATTACTTTTCAAACTAAGGCACATTTCTACAGCATGGCAATGTTCTAGGAACACCAATAGGGATGGTGGAAAAGCCCTATCACTTATTCTGGCAAATTTAAGAGACAATTCTCAGAAGACAGTAAGAAAATATACTGGTTTTTTTTTTTTTCAGAATTTAAATCTTTTTCTGTCACATATTTGTGGGGAGGATGTCTTTTTTTTTTCCTTTTTGCCAATTGCCAACCTTTGTTATGACTGTTAAAGACTTCATTCAAATGCAAAACACCAGGCTGACAGGTCTCACCAGTTAGGTAGTATATTGTCTTTACCCGGGTTACCAACGTAATTTTGTTTCTAATATGCTATGAAAGCAGAGGGCAGTTAAATAAAAACCAGACCTACTGACTGCTTGTCAAGAAAGCAGCTCATGCTGAGAGCAAAGACTCTGTTCCATGTGCTATGTTTATACACATCTTCTCCTGGGCTTCAGCTCAGAGATTGGTTTCTAAATGTGGCAAGTAGAGAAAAATTTTGCTGGCTGGCTGAGATCCAATCACTGAGTGTGAAACAGTGATTCCATGTTCATGGTGGTGGGTATTATTGTCCCCAACATCTTTCCCAACATGGGGAAGAATTACTCAAGATCTTCCTCTTTTTCCACACATAATGAACATTACTATTTTTGTTTTATTACAGAGGAAAGAATGTTTTTCTTACCATTAAGATTAACCTATAATAAGTTATTTATACAGCATGTAATTGATCTCATTTTCCCCAGCCTCATCTCAACTTTGTCCTCTGATTGTTAAGAACAGAGGTTCTTAACATTGAACTAGAGTGTTCACTATCCTTTAAGAGTCAAATTCACATATAATTCCCTTGTGTTGAGAACTTAAATTTCAGATTATAAGCACAATTAACTGTCTGAATAAAAAGCACAGCTCTAGAGCAGTGCATTGCTCACCAGCCCCCTGTACTCACCATCTATACCACCAATTAAAGAAAGCTAACCTCACAGAAAGAGAGGAGAGGAAAAGAGAAAAATCTCTGGCATAGATTTCTTTCTAAATCTCTCATTTGGTGCTACTGTTTTTGGTCAGCTTTTGAGTCACACAAATTTTGATGTCTTAGAAAATTTGGGGGATACAAAAGCTAAGAATAGAACTCTGAGGGTGCTTAAATTTTTTAATGATTAATCAAAATATGAGAATGATTATATTTAAGACCAGATATTTGGATGGGATGAGGATAATTGTTTTCACATTACTGCAGAGTGACTTGAATGAAAGGAGAAGGGAGAGTATTTGAGGGGGATAAAGGAATAGGAAAGATGATGATGAGAAGGGGAAGGCAATAGAGGAGAAAATATGAACAAAGCACAATATTTCCATTATGAAGTTGTCATAATGAAATTCATTATTTTATATGCTATCTGAAAATAAAAAGTAATTTAAAAGTTTAAGTCATTTGCTTTTATCCTGGAGGATACAATTAATCCAACTGGTAGAATCTACTGATAAATTGAAGATATAGTTTGGCTGGGTATAAAAATTTTTAAATAGCATTATAACAATTAGATAAATTCAAAGACACTCTCAACTACTTAAGAAGAAGGAACCTTTTATGCTACCCTGCCAGGAACAGTTTTCAGAGGGTATAATTTCATATTCAACATTTTGAAGATGGAATGTTCATGATAGATAAAGATTTGACTAAATGATAAGGGCTCCTCTTCCTTGTCAGTCTTTGAATGTATTTCTTCAGGAATATCACATGATAATTTAGTATTATTATCCAGAGAGGCTGTGAGTCATGAGCAGCCAGAAGCTAAGAATATCAGCAGTGAAAATGAGTTGAAAGAGGATCCCACAACTGCTCTCTGTAACTTCAGTCAGACAGTATTCTTTAGGGGTCCTACAGCTTCCAAATCATAGTCAATGAATCATTACAATGTACTGACAGCTTGCTATATGCCAAGCACTGTGTTAACAAAGAGATACACAACCAAGAGTTTTAACTTAAATGGTTCTTCAATCTCTATACTGAGTATCTATGCCAGTAAAGAGGATGTTTGGTGTGATGGTTAACATTCATTTCTTACTAACTGGACTGAGAATCGCTGTGGAAATAGCTTGTGCCTTTCCGAGAAATAGGGGTCTTAGACTGAAAAATAGAAAAAAAAAAAAAAGCTTAGCACGAACATTCTTCTTTCTCACTGATTTGGACACAACATAACCACCAGCACAAACTCACTGTGGCTATATGTTCCCCGCAGTGATGGACTGTGTTCCTTCTTCATTGGAGCCAAAATAAACAATTCCCTCCTTAAGCTGCTCTTCTCAGGCATTCTGCCTCAGCAATAAGAAAAGTAACCAAAGAAAGTAAGTATTTTACAAAATGTGCACAATGCTATGATCAACTGATTGGTTTTTGAAAGGAGTTAAGGGATACATCTTTGAGGAAATAACATTTCAGCTGGATGTGAAAGGATAATTAGTAGTATATCTGGCAAAAGACTACTGGAAACCTATTATAAAGAACAGGAAGAGTTAAGAGTTTATCTAAGGATACTGAGTCAAAATGGCTTAGAAATTCAGAACTGAGCAACAAGTGAGTATTACTATAGAATGGATTGGAATGGTATGGAGGAATGGTAGAGAAATGAGAAAGACCAGATTATACATAATCGTGTCTGGTTACAGGTTTTAAATTTCTATTCTAAATTCACTGGTCAGCTGCTAGAGATTTTGTTTGAGAAGGATATGGTGCATATGATATATTTATGCAAATGTATATGTATATATCTATATATGTACAAATGTCTGTATGTATATATTTGTATATATGTATGCCTGAGATCTCTGATGGTCACATGAAGACAGTACTGTAGAAAGTGCAAATAGATACAGGAAGTCCAACTAGATGAATATAGTATATATCGACATGAGACACGACCCAGGCTTGAAATAAAGTTGTCAGCAGAGAGTAGAGATTTGATATTTTAGAATAAAATAAGATTTGTTGATGGACTGTCTGAAGGTTGAACTTACAGTCTCTTCTGAGCTTCTCAAGAAGGCACTGATGAATAATGGTCTTTTACAGAAATGGCTGAAATGGGGGAAGACTAGAGCCCGAGCTATGTGAAGAAGAGTAAGTATTCGACTTCAGATGTGTTAGGTTTAAGACACAGAAGTAGAGACGGCAAGGCTGTGAGAGGGACTCATTGAGAAGCCCGAAGATTAAAGAGTCATCATTGGGACTGGAGAGATGGTTCACAGGTTAAGAGCACTGGCTGCTCTTCCAGAGGTCCTGAGTTCAGTTCCCACTAACCACAAGGTGGCTCACAACCATCTATAATAAGATCTGGTGCCCTCTTCTGGTGGGCAGGCAGACATGCAAACAGAACATTGTATACATAATAAATAAGTAAATCTTTAAAAGGAAAAAAAAAGTAGTCATCATTGTGGAGAGAATATTTATGACCAAACTTACAGATGGAGCCATCTAGGAAAAGGGGTGAAAGAACTGAGTTCCAGAACACCTGTCTTTTTGTTGAGCAATGGAGAGGAGACAGCTAAGAAACCTGGAATGAAGGCTGAGGGGATAAGAGAGAGCTAGGGAGCTACTTCCTTAGAAGCCAAAGCTGGGGTGGCTTTCAAATGGATCTAGAGGGCCACTGTCCAAGTCTCAACAGTTCATCTTGCTTTTTAAAAAGCAAAGAAAATTAAGATGGTTGTGTATCATGAGGATCACGGTAGTGCACTAGGAGTAGAAGTCGGACAGGGCTGAAATGAATGGGACTTAATTTTCTTTCAGTATGTGAACTTGTCTAATGGCCCTGGGTTTATGTTCTATCAAAACCCTAGCCACAGAATCTGAAGCCAAAGTGGGCATTTTGATCTGTTTTTATGGGTCATAAAAGAAGTAAGAGAATGGAACACGAAAGAAAAAACAAAGCTGAGGTGTTTTTAAGTGAGCTGGCCATTGCTTGCTGCTGAATACACTTGACTACTTGAATTTAATGAATTCTAGTAGAGAATGCATTATCCCATCTAAGAACAGAATGTCCAGGAGTCAGGAGAGAGGAAAGAAATTGCCCCGTTTCACTCTGTCAAAGTCGAAGTGAGCTTCAATGACAGCATCTCTGGAATCTGCAGTAAGTGATGAAGGAAAACAAAGCCCCTGCTTGGGGGCTATTTGGTCAGTATGCACAGAAGCAGTGTCTCCCTGCCATGCATGCCGCATGTGGGCGCGGCTCAAACATGTAGTAGAGCAGGGTAACCATGAGGACCTATCTGTTTTTGCATCTCTGGAAACAGCATGGCGATCACTCTTGCCAGACGCAAGAACTTATACAGACAAAGGAGGCAGGAGCCTACAAGCTATGGCCAGTAAGATCTGAATCCATGTCATCGTCTGTGGAACTGAATGTGGTCTCTCCTATATCAGCTCTGCCCTCTATGAACATTCACTGTGAAGAACTGCTCTTTCGCTAAAACACATATGTCCAGAAAAACATAACCAGGCAAGAGCTATGGATCACTCATGCCTGCCATGTGCCACTGGGACAGAAGGACTGCCTAGGGAATTATTCTCCTGTCTCCAGAACCTCAGAGATCTTAGAGACCTCTCCCCTGATCCCTGCCTCAGAAACTGTACTCCTTGATACTCTTTTGGAAGAAGTACCTTATCACAGTCCCAAACAAGGGATTTCCAGCCACAGCGGCCAGGATGGGAAGAATGGCAGTTAAAAGTTGATCACCCATGGTTTGCCACAATCTGCCTTTCAATTATATAAGAATCAACAGGAAATCTAAATTAGCATGCTTGGACCTAAATGAGCCACAAGCCTGCCTCTTACTGAATTAACCAGCTCAACAATTTCTTCTTGTAATAAATCATATTGAAATTTTGTTTTGTTGTTTGCTTGTTTGGAGGACAGGTTTTCATATAGGCTGGTGGAAAACACATTATGTAGCTGAAGATGGCCATAAACTCCTGATCCTCCTGTCCCTATCTCCCAAGTGTTGGGTCATAAACACAAACACTTTAAAAGCTCTCTCTATGATATCTAATACAAATCCATAAATTTCATATAGCACTTGCCTAGCAATGTAAAAGTATTAGAAGCAAATAGAAAATGGGCCTTAGCATTTAAATAATTTCCCCAGAATCACAGAATCAATAAGAGGCATTTTCATATATGTATATAATATACCTTGTTCAAATTCACCCCTCTATTGCTATTTTAACCCCTTCTGCCTTCCATTTTTTCTTTCACTTTCTACCCTGCTTGATTTCATGCCCTTTTTCTCCTCTAGATTCCACATCATAGAAACATATGATATTTTCTATTATTTTAAATAAAACAAAACAGTATTATTTCATTTAACACATGATCTGAAGTTTCATTCATTTTCCTGAAAATAACATAATCTCATTCTTCTTTATAGCTGAGTAAAAATGTCACAGCTGAGGTTTTATGATACCAAACAGGACTTATAAGAAAGGGAACATGCATTTGGGGAATAAAGTGTAAGACTGGAAATAAGAAAGATATCTAATAAAAGGTAGGGCCCTTCTTAGTAGACAGTGAACCAGATGACAATAGAAATGGGTAATAGTTATTGAATACTTACTGTCAACAAGATCTACTCTATAACCTTACATGTATTAACTAATTTAATTCTCATCTTAGTCATCAGATGAAGGATATAAGACACAAAAGGCTTAGGTAATCTGCTCAACATCACACAGCTCTTGAATAGCAAGTACAGTGTGACTTCAGGAACTCTGAAAAAGATATCCATGTGATAAGTAGCAAAGTGGAGGTTTATTAGGTTTCCAATCGTCCTTGTATTCCTAGGGTCAGGCACCTTAATAGTCAGTCGGCAAATGATGACTTGTCCTAAGGAAGTGAGCTGAATGAATGGAAAATGGGGATGAGAAATACTGAGATTATCGCATAAACTAAAATAGAAGGAGAAGCCAGAATAAGCAGAACTCTACCTTTAACTTTAGATAAGCCTCATGTTAAGTCCAAGAAGAAACCCAGGGGCATTGAATTGCTTTGTGGTACTATCAGGAGATAGGCAGAAGCTAAAGAATGGAGCATGGTCCCACAATTCCAACCTGAAGAGCACATTTGTGGTCCATGACTCCGTGGGCACCAGCCATCCATCATCTGGTGACTTGTTTTGGCTCTAAAAATACATACCCTTCCTAATAGATGGATATTTATTTCAGACTCATCACTCAAATGGATAACTACTGTGGCCACAACTTTCTCAAGAACTCTTGTCATGTTGAGACAAACCACAGGAATGACTGGACAACACCCTAAGAACTCAAACTCTGAGGTATACCAATAGCTGGGTGACCCTCAGCATGCCAGTCTGGCTACCTCTCCAAATCCCCTGCTTCTAATTCAACCACAAAGCAGCCAAGAACAGTGCTCCATCCATGCATCCATCCATCTATCCATCCATCCCCACAACCAAGGCCGTTCTGCTTCCCCTCATGACCCTCTTCTATTACAAATGTTTGGCTTTGGCCATTTCCTCTCCTTTTTTTGTCTCCTCCCACTCACTTCACAGAGGCTGTTGGATTTTCTATCTTGCATTTTCAGTAGAGAACATGTTCTCCAGTCAGAAGAGTGGAACTTGGGTAAAGGGTTTTGAATCCAATAAGTTCTCATCTGCTATATTACCATGTTAGTTCAGATGGCCACAGTCACTGGTGCCTCCAAGGCAACCTGCCATATTGATACAGTTAGCCTCCATACATCTCTGTTCCTGGGAGTGCCTTTTCTTTATTCTCCCTACACGTCAACAGCTCTCCAAAGACAAGGCATATAATCTAACTCCCAAATCCCACACAAGGGGAGGAAGTTTAGTACCCACCCACTCACATATTCCCAGTGAAGGTTTCCCAGACATGGTTTCCTTATAATTACTCTGGGACTGGACTTTCAAATCAATTATACACTTGGTTGGTGCCAACAACATTTGTTTTTTTGATATCATATTTTTAATAATTAGAAAGTATTTCTGTGGATCACAGAAAGCTTCAGGCTTGCCAAAAGTGAGCTCCATTGATGACTTAGTGCTCTGAATGATTCTACTGGGGCTTCCATTGTAAAAACAACCACTTCATTGACTAGAGTCAGTTTTCTCATAACTTAGCCTGCCATTTGCCCAGTATTCACTTAAATAAGTTTGCCTTTGAAAACTGGAATCTTCCATACTATTTATAGCTGAATCCAACATAACTAGAATAAAGCTTTTGTAGCCATTTTCACATCAAATGTTGGACAGAGTGGTACAGGATGAGCTCATTGCTGCTCAGCAGATGCTGTGATGGGCCATTGAAGAGGAGCAAGTGTGTGTTCCCCTTGACAGACAATGGTTATTCAGACTCAGGAAGTGAGCCTCGGTCTATTCCAGATGCTAAGGCTGAATCTGTGATGTCTATCAATGAACACATGTAATCAATGCATATGTAGCCAGGATGGGAGTCCCACAGGATTTATGCATAAGCTACATAGGCCATCATGTGTCTCCTTTCTGTATACATTCCCAGCTTTGACCTTAATCGTGGAATTCTATGCTGAGTATTCTCTATCCCTTTGCATAAATAAGTACCTTTAGAACACACTGGATAGTGTTCAGAACTGACACACTTCTACTAATGTTATTAAGAATAGTAATTGTAACCTAAAAAGGATTTTCAAAGGTCTGTGAATAGAATTCCAGGGAGTCACAACAGGGATAGGCATTGTAATTTTGTGATGTGAAAACTTCCTGTGTAGTCAGTCTCTGAGTTTCCTAAATGTAAAGTCAGTCTTGCTGAACCAAAATGATGAGCAAGTTCAAGAGTTACTTGAAAAAAGGGGTGGCGGGAATAGTTAGAAGTTGCTGTTTTGGGTTTTTAGTGGGACTGAGGAATAAATCTAAGGCCTGATACTTGCTACATAAGTATTCTACAATGGAACTACACCTATAGCCTTAGTTATTGGTCTTGAAAAGAACACACACACACACACACACACACACACACACACGCACACACGCACGCACGCACGCACGCACGCACGCGCGCGCACACACACACACACACGCACGCACGCGCACAAACTAGTTCTTTGAGAATTTTGTACACTGTGTTTTGATCATATTCATCTCCCAACAGCTTTTCCCAGATCTATCCATCTTCAATATCCACCCAACTATTCTTTTTTCAACTATCAAGACCAATTTGTGCTGCTCAAATATTCTTGGATGTGTGGTCTTCCACTGGAGTGTGGTCAGTGTAGCATGAACTAAATTTTGAGCAAAAACTGTCTCTCCCTCTCCTAGAAGCTAGTGATTGCAGATAGATTCACACCCCACTCTCATCTGCCTGCTGGCATTTGGTCTGGCTTGAGCTTGCATGGGTTGTGTCTGTATGGTTACAGCCACTCTAGCTATTGTTCTTTATTGGCAAAGAAGGGCATCTCATTATCCCTGTTCACTAAAAGATGCTTTTCCCTGAAGTGATTTCTGTTAGGCTCTGACAAAATTCTTTCTAGCCTGTAAAAATAAGGTACTAGCAACTAGATATTTGTCCTCTTGAGCAAATAGTAAATAAAGGATGGAGGTTAAGTTATTCTAGGAATGCATGCAAGTAATATTTAAGAAATTCTGAACTTATGCATTAGATTTGCTTAAAATATAATACTTTAATCAAGTATTATCTAATTTGCAATGAACTAAGAAATATATATCAGATGTTATTAAATCAGCTACTTAAGTTTCATGGTATTCCATAAAACAACTTTACAAGTGTGATTGCTTTTCTTGGTTGTCAACTTGACTGTATCTAGAATGAACTATAATCTAGAAATGGAAGGCACATTTGTGATCTATATCTTGAAGCAAGAGGACAACATGCCTTTGATGCAGATATTGAGACTGAATGGCACATGCCTTTACTCCAGACCTTGAGGCTGGCCACACCTTCTGCCGGAGACCTATATAGGACAGTGGAAGAAGGAAGGGTTCATTCTTCACGTGCTTGCTCTCGCCTTGTCAGCACATCCATTCTAGCTGAGACACCCAGACTTGTGGGACTGAGCAGCTACTAGATTCTTGGTCTTTCCATTCACAACTAGCCATTGTTGAACTGCAGCCTGTAAGTCATTCCAATAAATTCCCATATGTACGTACATATGTATGTATGTATGTATTATGTAGGTAGGTAGGTAGGTAGGTAGGTAGGTAGGTAGGTAGGTAGGTAGAGAGATTCATTCCATAAGTTCTGTGACTCTAGAGAACCCTGACTAAAACAACATGTATTAACTCGTTTAATGTCTGTGCCACAGAAATAATTACCTCAGATCAGTAAATGAAGGAACTGAAGTGCAGAGAAATTAAATCATTTGTTAAAGATCACAGGAAATACGTATTTGTTTTTATGTTTGTTTGTTTTTTGTTGTTGTTGTTGTTGTTCTTTTTTGCAGTGTTTAGACATGCCTGTGCCACGGTGCATGTGTAGAGGTAGAGGACAGATTGAAGGAGGGTCTTCTCCTCTTCCACATGAGGGTCCCAGACTCAGTTTACCAGGCTCAACAGCAGACACCTCTAACTGCTGAGCAAACTTGTCACCCCACAGAGAAGAACCTGAACCGTCTAAGTCTCACTCTAGAGCTGAGGTTTTAGTAGTTACAAAAGTAACACTATTTAAAAAAAGATGAAAGAACGAATTTATTTAAAAATATAATTAACCAAACTAGGAGACAAATTTAGATTTTCAATCAAGATTTATTTTCTTTCCCAAAACTAGAATACATAAACTATCTTACTTTACTGGAAGTCCTCAAAGAGTTCTCTGCAATAGAATTTTCTAAACTGTAGTGACAGTGCAGATTAACAGTGGATCTAAAATCACTTCACCACAGCAGGCAGTGACCAGAAAAGGGATTAGCTGCCCTGACTGAACCACTATAAAGGAGAATCACCCCCAGCTTACCCAGTCCTGGCTGTTAGATGAAGCCTTAAGACCCATCTCTTCTTTAGGTTTTCTGTTCTATCAGCCCTACACCTCAGACTGTGAACTCAGAATTTGAAAGCTGGTTAGCTCTGCTTCTGCAGATTGTGACCTTACCATGGCAATCTGATCTTGTTTGCCCTTCACTAATTCTAACCTACCCATCTATCCTTAACAGGCCATATCATCAGATCATAATCCTTAAGCCCCATCTCTTTGGATGCAGTGCTTTGGGGGAAATGTTCTTGATGATGAACCAAACTCTACTGCCTTTAACTTAGAACCAAGATACT